GTTGTCAATTCAGTATCTCCTGTAATATTTATTTTTTTTTTTTTGAAAAAAACGATCCCTCCAGTGCTAGCGATGCTGATAAGAGCAGACACCGCTAACACCTGGGGATAGGCTCCATCTATTGGTGGGGAGCATCACCTGCTGGAAAACGGGTCCAGCGTCCCTTATGAGAAAACACATCAACCGTAGGAAAAGCCTGCCAGCATTGATTGCCCTGGGTACCAGGGGATTGACTGCGCAGGGGGAGAGCCTCTTCGCCCTGATTTCTGCGTCAGATGTCTACTGTTGCATACTGGCTCCCTCCTCCCTTGTCTGGTCCCAATCTATCCCCAGTCTCTGAGCAGGTGTGGTCGTGACCCGAGCAATGGAACAGCAAGCTGGTGATCCTCATCTCCCTCTCCGACCCTGTGTCTCGTCAGGATTCCGGGAGGAGCCACTGGGGGGCACCAGTGGAAACTCCTTCGGTATACTTCGACACTGTCCTCCGCCCTGTCGGCAGCATTGCAGAATGAAGCAACTAAAAACAAATGAAAATGGATAACTCAGATTGCAATAGCCTAATAACAGACTGAAAATGAGAACCAAAACGGGTTAAAACTACTACAACAAACAAAAAAGCAGACTGAGACTGACGGCTAAACTTAAAAAAAAAAAAAAAAAAACAGGCGACAACTCAACCGATCTGGAACACAAACTGAAAGGCGGAACAGAACAATGTAAAACAGACGGAAAAAGGAGCAGACCGCAATGGCTAGACTGGGTGAATCGAAGGCTGCCGGCGTTGATTACTGTGGAGACCAGAGGATTGGCTGTGCGGGTGTACGCATAACCTGGCTGCGAAAGATGAAAGCTAGTGATGGTGGTCCCGGAGATGCTTCCGATAGTCGAAGTTCTAGGGACTGTGGGTGGGCCGGGAATGGATCCGGGAAGTCCTCTGCAGGTCTCAGGGGGATGCTGCAGTCAATGGGCAACCAATCTTTAAATTTCAATCGGTAGTCGCGTGGTACCCTCAGCCTTCCTTGACCTTCCTCCCCATCCTCCCCTTCCTCACTTCCATTCCAGTCTCCTGACCAGCTCACCTCCGCTACCCATCCCTCTGGATCTCCTCCAAGCCATTCATTGGAAAACTGCCTTATCCTTCCTACAACGTCCTTTGGCCTGTGGAGGGAATCGAGGATGAGTTTGACTGCTTTCCATCTGAACTGTAGTTCCATTTGGATATGTTGTTTAAATTGCTCGATCCTCTCCTCTCCCTCAACGCGAACCTGGTCAAACACCAGAGCACAGCGTTGCCACCATAACACCCATAGGACCGTTCTTCTACCCAGGTGAAACATATTCCAGGCAAATGAGTCCCCCTGGAGAGGTGGGTAGTGGCCAGTGAGGATGCCACGCCAATCCCATGGCCATTGTTGTCCGGGGACAATTTGCTGCCACACCCTATCCCACCATCTTCAGGTGAGAACTGCTGTTGGGCATTGCAAAAAGATGTGCTCTATTGTTTCTGCTCTCTTCTTTGCTGGGAAGCCCGACAGACAGCGGTTACACCAAGGGAGGGTCCGACCCTGCTGTTCCAGGTGCAAGTGGTCGATTAACCAATCGTTTGTTGGTAAGCAGCGATGCAGTATCTGCCATTGCAGGGACGTAATTTTAGCCAGTCTGCACTTGGTGTCGCAGAACCAACGGATTGGCGTGAGGAGCTGTCTATCCACGTTAAGGTGCCTCTGCCATCTGTCAATGACCACCTCTTTCAGACATCGT